TAATGAAAGCCTTTTTTTAACTAGCAGTAACATTTACCAAAGAAACATTTTGCAGCTAATCAAATCAATAAAACGAAACTAACATCACGCTGATAAATTATAGTATATAATATTATTATCATTATTATTAAAAATATTGGAAAGTTTACTTATAGATTTAAGCAAGCAAATCAAATAAAATTTAATATTTTTATTCGTTGAACAAAAGAGAAGAGTTGGTGTTTTCTTTTTGATTTCATTGTTATTTGTTGAGTGCCTGAAAGTATGCAATAATTTTGGGGAATTTCATTACTATCATAGTTGCCAGACTAATAATCTAATCTAAATATATAAAAGAGTAGTAAAATAACTGAATGAGGGATAATCAACGCCTATATGAAATGGTTGAAGATAAAAATCTTGAAATGTTGCGCGAAGGTCACGCGTAGGCGTGCCAGCCTTAGACTTTGGAAATTCTAACGAAAAGGAAAACTACTAAAATGCATTAAAACTTGAATACTTTGTATTGTACAAACGGAATGAGCTAGAATTTAGAAATCTGGAATGAGAATCAAAGATGGAGTGCAGGATATATTTACCAAAAGGTTTTTAAAAAACTCGAACTCAAAAGGTTACGAAAAATTGTTAAAATGGTACTAAACCTCTTGAATGGTACCATTTGGTATTATGTGAACGATTAGAGCTAAAACTTGAATTTTGGTACGAGAATCAAAGTTGAAAAGTAAGTTTAATATATGAAGGTGGTTTTGGAAATGTGTACTACGTGTGCAAACTGTACCAAATGGCACTAAATTTAGAACAAGTTGATTTGGGGTTAACGAATGTAGCTGAAAATTTGAAATTTTATATTGGGTTCTCTGTTGGTGGTAGGTTTGTCATAATGAGGGGGCTTAGGTAATATGTACTACAAGTGCATAAAAGTACTAAATAGAACTATATTTGGTACAATTTGGTATTTGGCGAATAGTTGTACTAAAAGTACTAAGTGGTACTATATTTGACATTGGGTGAAGGGTTAGAAATAAAATTCTGAAATTTGATATTTAGATTACTGATGGTATATGTGTTTGAGATTTAACGGCGGTTTGGAAATGCGTCTTACGAAAAGTACTAATTAGTACTGATTTGGTATTGGATAGAGCTAGAGTCCTGAAATTTGATATTATGATCACTGTTGGTGTTTGTGGTGTGATCTCGAGGTGATTTTGGATATGCGTACTAAAATGGTACTAAATTTGGTATTGGGGAAAAAAGACCAAAGAGGGGAAAATCCTGAAATTTGATATTAAGATCACTGTTTGTATCTGAGTTTGAGATCTGGCGGTGGTCTTGGAAATGCGTATTATTATTGTTCGAAATGTACTAAAGTGAACTAAATATGTTATTGATTGAACATATAGTGCTAAATTCGGTATTGGGCCAAGGGATAGAAACTAAGGTTAGAATCTTCGAATTTGATATTGAGGTATTTGTTAGTGTCTGGGGTTAAGATATGGAGGTAGTTTGGAAATGTGTACTATACGTTATCGAAAAATACTAAATGACACTAAATTTGTTATTGGGTGAAGGAAAAGAACTAGAATCCTGAAATTTGATATTGAGGTCACTATTGGTATCTGGAATGGAGACTTGGGAGGTGGGTTTGGAAATGTGTACTATAATTTTAGCAAAAGTACTAAATGGTTCTAAATTTAGTATAGTATTATATTCAGGTCTCTGTTGGTATCTGGAATTGAGATAGGCATGTGGTTTTGGAAATGTGTACTATAGTTGTACGAAAAGTACTAATTTGTACTAAATTTGATATTTGGTGAAAGAATAGAGCTGAAATCCTTATATGTGATATAGATGTCGCTGTTGATGTCTGGGTTTGAGAAGGTAGCTTTGGAAATGCGTATATAATTGCACAAAAGTACTAAATAGGGCTACATTTGGTATTGGGTGATATAATATAGCTGACATTTGATATAGATGTCACTGTCAGTGTCCGTGGTTAAGATATGGAGATGGTTTAGAAAATGTGTACAATAATTATTCGAAAAGTACTAATTGGTACTAAATTGGGTTTGGATGAAGGGATATAGCTGGAATCCCAAAATTTTATATTGGGTTTACTTTTGATTTCTAGGATAGAAAAATTGGATTCATAGTTTTAATGGTTTTACTTACATTCCCCTCGGTAAACCTCAAAATGAAAGATTTTGAAGACTTTTTGGTGTAAAAGGAAAACATTTTCCTATTATTTTTTCCGAAAAGGGAAAAAATGTATAATCTTGAAAGTCTGAATATTTAGCACAATGTACACAGTTTTTATTTAAAAATGTCTCAAATATAGATGTCAACAGAAACCTCATTATCAAATTTGATAATTCCAGCCCTACCCCTTCACCCACTACCAAATTTAGTACCATTTGGGACTTTATGAACCACCGAAGCGGAAATCGGATGGAGTTCAGAGATGGGCAATATCGACCCACTCCTTCTGAAATAGAAAATAAAATACCGCATAGGAAGAGAACGGATAATCTGATTTTGTGCAAACTTTTCAAATCGTGATATTTACATTGGGTGTGAGAATGGACAAGATCGGACTACCCCTTCTAGTACCTCTACCACAAAGGGTCCAAAGTTGGAATATCTAAAGCGCTCATAAATGCGAAATATAATTCAGATTCTCTTTAAATTTCACACATACCAATATTTTTATCATTAAAAAACCGGGTGTAAAGATGGAGTACAGGGTGAAATAAAAAAAAACCTGCCACAAAGTCAAACGCCATAATTTTTACATTTTTTTAGATTTTATTGAATGAAAGATAAAAATATCGGAAATAGCATCAAATTTTAGAATAAGTTTAGATTTGTTCGAATTGGTCACCTTTGGCACGAATTATGGCCTTCAAACGGCAAATGAAACCGTCACACGCCGTTTGTATGTTGCCCTGCGGTATTTTGGCCCATTCCCTGCGAAGCGCTTGCTTGAGGGGATCGACACTTTGGGATTTTTTAGTGCCAACCTTTCCAAAAAAACTCCAGACACAATAGTCCAACGGATTGGCATCTGGAGATTTTGGTGGCCATTGTGCGCAGGAAATTAAGCGACAAACTTCATTCTGTAACCATTCATGGGTGGCTGAGTGCGATGGTGCAGAGTCCTATTGGAATGTCCAAGGTCTGCAGCCAAAATTTTTGCGTGCCCAAGGCTTTAATACACCGCCCAGAATATTTTTGCGATAATATTCGGCATTTATTCTGATGATCGATTAATACGAGCGGAGAGCGACCATCGGCTGTTATGGCGGCCCACACCATCACCATGGCCGGCGCTTGAGTTCTGGTGGCCAACCCAAGGTGCACATTTTCAGCTGACCTCTTTGGCAAGTAAACACGCTCATTTTGTTTGTTTACAAATTGCTGGACAACGAATGTTTTCTCATCGGAGAAAACCAAACTCTGCAATTCCCCACTTTCGGTCAAGCGAAGCAACTCTTTAGCTCTTTTGAGTCTATTTTCTTTCTGTTGCGGTGTAAGTTCTTGAACTTTTTGGAATCTCTCAACTTTTTGGAATTTTTCAATATTTGCCGATTTGAATATTGCGATATGTTCAGCTCTCGAACCATTTTTCGGGCACTACGATGCGGTTTTCAATCTTTACTTTTCGAACCATTTCTGCTGATGTTGCTGTTTCCTTCCGTCCACTTCCTCGACGCCGGGCTACGCTACCAGTATCACGATAACGAGCGATGGTACGAGACACAAAAGATTTATTCACATTTAAATGCTGGAGTGTTCTAACGATAGCTACTTGTGGTTTTACAGGCAAAAAAAATAAAAAAAATCACACTGTCACGCTTAAATTCCATCACGAATAAATGAGCTGTCACTGGAATAATTTAAACAGCTGTCGGACGAGTGGCTTAGAAATGACAGACAGTCTGAAGTTGGTTGCAGTTTTTTCATCTCACCCTGTATAGCGGACCACTTTTTCTGGTCATCCCCCACAAAGGTTAAAATTTGGAATAACCAAATTGCTCTTGAAATGCGAAATAAGCATCCGATCATTTTTAAATTTCGCACATCCCAATATTTTTTTTCCAAAGCAAGATCTGATGTGAAGATGGGATATATCGGACCATTCCTTTGTATACCTTCCCCACAAAGGTTCAACATTTGGTGTATCTAAAACGACCATAAATTTTAAATTTCGCACATCCCAATAATAAAACCGACTAACAACTTCTGATACCTCCCGCACAACGGTCAACATTTTGCATAAAAATAACTATTACAAAATGTGAAATAAGAGTCCTATTGTCTTCAAATTTCGCACATTCCAATATTTCTACCAAAACAAGATGAGGTATAAGGTACGGATGGAACGAACTTTTCCTTCCAATATCTCCCCCAACCTAAAACTACACAGGATCTAGTATGGAGATATAATATATCGCTCCTCTCTCTCTGTTACCTCACCCACAAAAGTTCAAATTTTTGAATTTTCTTCAAATCTTGTATATTACAATATCTTTACCAACAAGAGATCTGATCTGAATATGAAATGTATGGGCCACTCCCGCTGGTACCTTTCGATTTTCTTCAAAAATCATGTATATGCGGTATGTTGACCCACTCTTTCTGGTGGATTCCCAAAAAAAAAAAAACATTTTCAAAAAGTATATACACATTATCCAAAGCTGTCACCTCCAATGATTATAGCAGGTCATAAGTGAAATGGAGAATATTGTACTACTCCATCGGGAGCTCTCCTATGGAGGGTCAAAATTTTGAATAATAATGAAACATGTCAAAATATATATAACTCGTTTGATTTAATTTTAAATAATATCTTTTCTATCGTGGATTTTCAAATAATATTTTTTTCAACCGTGAATTTTCAAATAATATTTTTTCCAATCGTGGAATTTTAAATATTTTTTTTAATTATAGATTTTTGAAAAAAAAAATTTCAATCCAAATAAATAAAAATACATTTTTTTGCATATAATCGTTTTCATTATTTATTTACATTTTATAAAAAAAAATATTAAGTATTTTTTTATTGTTTACTAACTTAAAGACGAATGTAATCAGGAGCATATTATGGAATTTCAAAAAACATTGAAAAGGAATATACGAAATAAACATAAGGAAATAATAAAGCTATCATCACAATGACCAAATTTACGACCAAAAAAAAGTCCTTCAATAATTTTTTTCATAATAGTTTCCAAAAAATGCTTCTACAAATTTTGTTCATTTCAAAAATTAGCTGTTCTTCTTCCTTTACACAGGGAACAATTCATTGTAGGTGAAATTTTCTATAATTTTACGTGATATAGCCAAGAATTTCTTCTCCAAGGCCCGTTCAATGGGCCCAATCAGCTCGTTTGTGAAGACTTCGAAATTTTGATTGATCGTATCGTTGACCACATCACCCAGGGCCTTGTCGCCGTTAAAGAGATTCTCCAGGCGTATGCGTCCCTTGCCGGTACGAATTTTCACTTCCAAATTATTGATCTGCAGATATTCATCGCCATTGACTTCCTTGACGTCGAAAAGGATTTTCACAAAGGCATAGAAGTTGGCTAAATTTTCGAAAAAGAAAACAAATATAAAAAGGTTTAGGGAAAAAGTTTTGAATAACCCACTAAAATTGCCGGTGAAGGGACCATTACCTCGCAGAGGCAATGTCAAAATTTGGCCATTTATGTCGTAGTTGCCTTCTCCCTGAAGCCGTGGCAAATTTATTTCAAAGTCGTAACGCATTCCATTGTTTGAGTTTCTGAAATAATTCGAAGAATTATGATAGAGATTTTTGTATAAATTTAATTTTTTTTTCTGAAACTAGTAGAGCCATAAAGTATATAATGTACCGCTTCATCCAAGCCTAACTAGAATGGCAAAATCTTCGATAAAGCAATATTCATTAAAAATTCACGAGCGTCATCGAAAAATTGAATGAGCGAGTTTTTCTGAGGTCTGAAATCATCTACTTCTTCTGCCAATAGACAAAGGGTTAAGGTCAAGTAGGCATGCCATCAAACCTTCAAAACTTTTATTCTAAGATAGCTCAGACAGGGGTGCAAATGCCTCCGACTTTTTTCAGTTCTCTTCTGTACTCCGTGCCTCAGCTCGTCTATAACAAAGGCACACTTCCTTCTTTTGGCTCGCTTAGAGGTAAAACGACTCTATAGTTCAACTCGCATAGGAGGATTGTGCTCTATACTTCAAATCGCCTAGAGAGAAGGCGACACTATAGGACGAAGAGAAGACGACTCCTTGTTGCAAACTTTCTGGAAAGAAGGCGACTCCTAGTGCAGATTTCCTGGAGAGAAAGCAACTATCTGTGGAAGCTGGCCTATAAGGAAGGCTGTTAAATTGAATTTGTCTAAACAAGTTCAAGAGGGACGTTGGCTCTCTACTGAAACAGGCCCAAAGAGAAGCCGACTTTCTGTACCTGGTTTCCTAGACAGATAGCGGCACCCTACTGCAGATTTTTGGAGAGAAGGTGACTCTCTGCGGTCGCTGGCCTTTAAGGAAGGCTATCTGCTTGAGGTCGTCTAAAATGAAGGCCAAGTAAGGACTCCTCTTCCTGTTTTTTAATATTTCTAAACTTTTTTTCATATCTGTGTATTTTCTTTATCTGGGATCAGTTGCCAAATGGTGTTGGCAAGCATTTTAGCTCAAACCTGAGCGGAACGGATATTGACATTTTTAAGTTTTTTTGAAGACCAAAGGACCATAATTTTTTAAGGAATGTATTTTCCCAATCGAGAGTATTTTCTATAAATATATTTTTCTGGATCAGAGAGATCGGAGTCCGAATCGTGGATTTTTGTAAAATAATTTTAGATGTTTTATCCCTCCACCATACTATGAAAGGTATAATAAACACTAAAAATACTCATGACAGACCCAACAAAGTGTAAATATTCTTGATCAGCGCACAATTTTTCAGAAGGCAAGTTAATTTCGAAAATAGGTCATGTCGGTCCACGTTTTCGTCCCCAAATAACGTTACCTCCCTTTATTCACCGGAATTCAAATTTCGTATTTGAAGATCTTAATAGGCACTATAGCCTATGACTAAAAATGACTTATGCAAGTCTACCTCTTCGTATAACCCTTCGTTTTCATTTAAGCGGTATTTTTCGGAATTGTTTGAAAAATTTTAAGTTCCTTCCAAATGGTGGAGCTGCTTTTAACTTGTTTAATCCTAATTTTTTAAGGGTCAACATCAGAAACGTGGAATTTTTCAAGGATGAATATCAAAAACGTATATTTTTTATACATAATTTTTCAAGAAACGTGGACTTTTTAAACTTAATTTTTTCAAGGATCTGCATCAGGAACGAGGATTTTTAAGCCTAATTTTTTAAGGATCAACATTAGAAGCGTCGATTTTTTAAACCAATTTTTCAAAGTGATTTTTTGAAGATTAACATTAGAAACGTGGATTTTTAAACTTAATTTTTTAACGTAGATTTTTGACCAGCAAAGAAAGTCCAAAAGTCGGGCGGGGCCGACTTTATGATATCCTACACCACTTTGTTAATTTAGTAGAGTTCCGCATAACAATTAAAAGTTTTTATGGGAGAATTTAATCATACACGCTATGATTATAATCATAATTTAAAGTTCAAAGGACTAAATATGCCGAAGCATTTGTATCTTTTAAATTTGGACTCGTATTGCCCATTTGGTGCAAAATTAATTTGAAATCAGATAAAGATATATATGGGAGCTATATCCAAATCCGAACCGATCTCGATAAAATTTGGCAAAGATATTTCTGAGCTGTATTTAATATATTTCCCTGAATATCGTTGTAACGGAGTGCATGTTACGGCTGTGGGTAACAAATCCAACAAATCAGCTGAACAATATATATGGGAGCTATAGCTATATCTAAACCGATCTTCACCAAATTTGGCGTACTCGCTTCTAGTCTCAATTCGGTCGCATGTGACTCAATTCGGTCGCAAATTCCGCCAAATTTGGGCAAATATTAGACGTTTCATTGTACACAAATGAAAGGTAAATCGGACGAAGTTATATATGGGAGCTATATCCCAATCTGAACTGAACTCGATAAAATGTAGCAAAGATATTTCTGAGCTGTATTTGATATATTTCCCCAAATATTGTTTTTACAGAGTGCATATTACGGCTGCGGAGGACAAAAATAACAAATCGGATGGACAATATATATGGGAGCTATAACTATATCTGAACCGATTTCGATCGAATTTGGCATACTTATTTCAGGCTTAATTTGGTTGTATCTGCAAAATTCCATACTATTCGGGCTGATATTACACGTTTGGTGCAAAATAAAAGGCAAATCCCGCGAAGATATATATGAGAGCTATATCTAATTTTTTACCGATTATCTCCAATTTCAATATTTGAGGATTAATAGAGCCATAATCTTAGAGTTTTAGAGACATTTTTTTGAGATTTATGGAACCAATATGGGCCAAACAAGTGTTGTTTGGAAAATTTCATCTCAATCGGATAATGAATGCGGCCTGCATTTTGTTCAGAAGAATACATGGACAGGCGGACGGACGGACAGACGGACTGACATGCATAAATCAACTCAGAAAGTGATTCTATGGAGATCCTCAAAAGTAACTATGGGCCATCCCGCTTCCTTCTCCATGTTACAAACAAATGCACAAATACATAATGACTAATTTTTGAAAGATTAACTTCAGAAACGTAAATTTTTTAAACCCAATTTTTGCACGTGGATTCTTGAAGACTATTTTTCGAAAGAATAGCATCACAAACGGGGATTTTCTAAACCTATTTTTTCAAGGACGAACATCAGAAACGAGGACTAAAAGTAGGAATCGTGATGTTCTTCAGAATATATATTTGAGGATTATGACGTTTTTTAAATCGATCGTGGAGTATTGAAGAATATTTTTTCAAATATCAATATATTCAGAATCGGGTAGCTTTTAATAATTGTTAAATTGTTATTTTTATACCCTCCACCATACTATGGAGGGTATATTAATTTTGTCATTCCGTTTGTAACTCCTCGAAATACTCATGTCAGACCCAACAAAGTATATATATTCTTGATCAGCGTAAAATTCTAAGACGATTTAGCCATGTCCGTCTGTCTGTCTGTGTGTCTGTCCGTCTGTCTGTTGTAATCACGCTATCTTTCGAAAAAATTGAGATAGAAGGCTAACATTTTGCACACATGTATATTTTCCCAGTAGGCAGGTTAAGTTCGTAAATGGGCCATGTAGGTCCAAGTTATCATATAGCCCCCATATAACGGTACCTCCCGATATTCGGAATTTTGATGATTTTAGGCACATTATTCACCGGAATTATTTCAAATTTGGTATTTGAAGTTCGTAATGGATACTAGAGCCTAAGACAGAAAATTATCTGTGCAGGTCCACGTCTTCATATAGCCCCCATATAACGGTACCCCCCGATATTCGGTATTTTGATGATTGTAGCGACATTGTTTACCGGAATCGTTTCAAATTTGGTATTTGAAGTTCGTAATGGATACTTCATCCAAATTCAAAAAATGAGCCATGTAGGTCCACGTCTTCATATAGCCCCCATATAACGGTACCCCCCGATATTCGGTATTTTAATGATTTTAACGACATTATTTACAGGGATTCTTTCAAATTTCGCATGTGAAGTTCGTAATGGATACTTCAGCCCATGCCAGAAACGGTACCCCCCATATTCGGTATTTTGACGATTTTAGCTACATTATAAACAGATTTTTCTTCAAGTTTCGCATTTAAATATTGTAATAATTTATGAAAAAAGTTGCCTATGCAGGCCCACGTCGTCGTAAAAGCATTCGGTAGTTTTAAGATTTTAACAGAATTTTTAACGGTATTTTTTTTTGGAATTTGCCAAATTTGTACCGAATGGTGGAGAGTATTAAAAGTTCGGCCCGGCCGAACTTACAGCTTTTTTACTTGTTATATTATATATTATATTTTTAGGGGCTAGTGTAGTCAATAATGTAGAGATTAAAAAATATATTTTTATGGAATCGATAGAGTTGTAAAGAATATTTTTTAGGGGCCGATGGAAGCAATATCGTGAATTTTTTGGGGATATTTTTGAGCACCAATGTCATACAGTTTCAAAAAATATATTAAGGGGCCAGTAGACCCAATATCGAGGGGTATATAAAAAAGGTCTTAAGGAACCAATAGAGCCAATTTTGTATTTTATTATAGTTTCTTAAAAAAAATCTGAAGACGATTAACGATTAACAGAATGATAATATTTAAGTTTAAGGAACGTTTTATAAGGGACCAATACAGTCCCGATCGGGAGTGTTATTAAGTTTTTTTTTAAACCCCAGATTTTAGAAATATTTTTTGAAAGCTAACATTATCCTTATCGTTTGTTGTAGGGTCAACTGAGCCATTAACGTTCATTCTTTCAGAACTTTTCCTAAGATTTGGAAAAAACGTCGATAATTAGGAAATTTTTATGAATTTTTTGAGGACCAAGTTTTTAAAAATATTTTTTAAACATTTTTGTTTGAAGGCCACCAGAGTTTTTAATGTGTATTTTGTTAAAAATATTTTTTAGGAATGGAGATTTGTAAGCCATTTTGATTTTTTTTTTTAATTTGGAATTGTGAATAGCCTTTAGCAACTTACTTGAGCTATTTTAAACATTTTGTTTGAAGGCCACCAGAGTTTTTAATGTGAATTTTGTTTAAAATATTTTTTAGAAATGGAGATTTGTAAGCCATTTTGATTTTTTTTTTTTAATTTGGAATTGTGAATAGCCTTTAGCAACTTACTTGAGCTTTTTAATTTCAAAATTCGATGCTCCGTAGATATTCAAATCTTTCGCCTTAACATTAATACCCGCACTGCCGCCTTCCAATATATTGAGATCACCTATGAACAGGGGTTCCATGGCGGGGACATTCAGCTCCTTGATGCCATCCTTGAGGTAGGGTCGCATGTCGTGAACGGTATTCTTAATACATTCGTTTATCTTTGGATCATTGCGAGAGCAAACTTTTATGTAGTCAGCTGCAGGGGAGAAAGGAATAAGCAATTAAATGAATTTTAAAAAAATTATTAATGAAAAAAAAAAAAAAACAAAAAAAAAAAACAAAAAAAATAATGCAATAAAATAAATTGAAAACCCAACAAACTAGTTGGTTATGATTTTTTTTTGCAAAGGAAGCTCACAGTGTCTGACATTGAAAAAAAGAGGCTTCGTTGTAATTTGCATAGATAATTTATTAGCGTATCTGGGAGTGGGAGGTCGGCTGATCGGTATCCCCCCGTTAATTATTTCAATTTCAAAACTTACGCATTGTTACCGCATACGTTGTTGTTGTCATTTGAGCAATGACCAGTAACAAGCCTACTGCTGCTAGCTGTGACTTCATCTTGTCTACGGAGCGGGCGTTTCGTGTGACTGCAATGAATAAAACGTTTGTAAAAGTAACAATTAAATTTTTTAATTATAAGAATTTGATTTTACATCGATAAATAAAAGTGTTTTTCTTTTTTTTTTCAACACCTTACACTTTAGAATGTGTTAATTTTTAAATGGACAAACAGCTGTAATCAAATCAAAGTCAGATTATTGTTATTATTTTTGTTTTTTTTTTTTTGTTTTTAGTTGTTAATGGGAAAACGAACGACTGACTGGATCAGGAATAAAATTTAATTACATTTTGTCTGAATTTTTAATGCAGTTGCTGTAAAATAATTTGATTGGATGTCTGCTGAAAATGCTTCCCAGTGTAATAAACGTGATTTGCATGTGAATTTCCCAACACTGGATTTAATTGTAAATTGAATTGAATTAGAATTTGATTTAGTAAATTTTTGATTTTGTGCCAATTTTAAGTTATTCACTTCCTTTCTAATTGAGGAGAGGCGTAAATTATTTAAATCGGATATTTAAATTGCAAATAGAGAAGTAATTCATGAAAAGAAATTTTGACGCATGATCGAAAACAAAAGACTTAAGAAACAAACTTTATTGGACCTTTCAATTTCAAATCAAATGTCTTCAAATTTATAGAATGTGTCTATCCCACAAATATTTCATAATTGAGTTAGGCACAGGTTAAAATAGTCTTCAGCTTGACATTTCCAGTAAAGTCGGATGACAAAATCAAAATCAAAAAAGAATCAGAATCAAAAATTCTGCAGATAAATAAATGTGTGGAGACGATTCAAGGGCGTCCGTCTATCGGTCTGTCAGTCTGGCCGGTGCGCACGTTAACTCTCGATGGGAGTATCAGATTTGATCAAAAACTTGGTATGTCGTAATATTATTATGAAACTTTGATCGAGTTCGGAGATTGGCAATATTGGTCCTCCCCCAAACGGTCAAAATGTTCACAGAAAATAATTACCTTATTGAACAAGAAAGGATCAACAAAATGTTGTGCAAACTTTGTATATACTACAATTTTAATCCGTGCTAGGTCAGATGAGAAAATGGATGATATCGACTCACTCCATCATGCACCTCCCTCACAAAGGGTTAAAATAGTTGAATAATAATAACTCTTATAAAATGTGAAATAAGAGTCCGATTGTTATTGCGAATCCTAATACTTATACAAACACAAGAACAGATAGAACGAACCACTCTTGTTAGGTTAGGTTAAAGGACGCGCGGTTACCATATGGCAACCGCTCCACTCGGAGACCAATAGGTCCATTGTTTTCATCCTAAAAGTGGTTGGTAGAAGAGGTGAAGATAAAAGATAAAGTTGTAGAATGTGATCTACGCTAATTGAAGGATTACTATAGGGTCAGTGTTAGAAAAAGAAGACAGGTCATGTGACACTAGTTCTCCCACTAGCCTGTGTCTCACATTAATGAGCGCTGGGCAGTGGCAGAGCAAGTGTTCGACTGTCTCAACTTCTTCTTCATCTTGACAGATCCCACAATAGTCAATGTCGTCGCTGTCCCATTTCGAGGTCATAGCCCTCACCTTACAATGACCTGTGATGATACCCACCACAAGTTTTAAATCAGGTTTTGACAATGACATCAGCGACCTTGCTCTCTTCTCTGAGAGTGTGAGCCAGATTCTTTTGGGGATGGTGCATCCAATTTCGTCCAGCCATTTTTTTTGGATTCTCTCAGAGTAATATCTGTGAATAACCTGTATAAAATGGCACAGTGGTGGCTTAACCGAGTTGTCTACTTCAATTGTAGTTGAGTCGGAACCTAGTCTGGCTGTCTGCAGTCTCATTACCTGGGATGTTATAATGGCCAAGAACCCAACAGAGCTTTATTTACAACCCAGTGTTTTCCAAGGCTTTCCTGCAGTTCAAAACTGCCCTAGACTTGATAGTAAAGGAACTTAAGACCTTCAGTTCCGCTTGACTATCGACATATATAGTCACCGGACCGCTGACCTCAATGCTCCTCGTTACCAGCAGGTCTATGGCCTTTTTGACCGCAAATATTTTCGCCTGAAATACGCTACAGATGTTTCCAAGCTTGTAGGATTCACGAACATTAAGGGTATCACAGAAGACACCAGCTCCCGTATCACACTCCATCTTTGAACCGTCGGTATAAACAGCTATGCCGCGGAAAGGTGGGTTGTTATGGGCCCAGGCGTCTCTATCAGGTATGTGTATGTCAGGTGGTTAAAAGCTTAATCGTGGTAAAATATAGTCACTTGCAAAGGCTATCCCTCCCACATTCCTTACACGCCTTAGAATCGCAGAATGTCCAAAGGGTTGACTGCGCCATTCGCTTAGTTCTCTGAGTCGAGGAGCACTCCTGAATGCCTGTTCCTCCACATATATGCTCAGCGGTCTTAGGCCCAGTAGAGTATCCAGTGCTGCTTGAGGCGTGCTCCTGAAGGCACCCGTTATTAGTAGGGATGCGGCTCTTTGAACTTTGTTAATAGGTCGTGAGTAGGTTGACTTCTTCAAAGAATGCCACCATACTAGAGATCCATAGGTTAGAATGGGGCGAACGATTGACTCATACACCCATTTAAAGATGTGTGGTTTGAGGCCCCAGCCTTTACCTATGGAGTTCTTACAGGAATAGAATGCGATCAAGCCTCTCTTAGCTCATTCCTCGGTGTTCCTCTTCCAACTTAATTGGCAGTCAAGAATAGTACCAACTTATTTGGCTTCTAGTGAGAGGTTTAAAGTGACTCCATCTAGTCTCGGTGATGTAAATGAAGGATATTTCACCACTCTTGTTAACTCATCAAGTCAAAATTTTGAATAATCATAAAACTCATAAAACGCGAAATAATATCTCTGATAAAATGTGAAATAAGTATCCGAATTTTTTGAAATTTCACACATCCAAATTTTTATACTCTGCACCATAATATGGAGGGAATATTTACTTTATCATTCCGTTTGTAACACCTCGATATATACATTTTAGACCCAAAGTACATCCATATATATATATATTCTTGATCAGCATAAAATTCTATGTCGACTTAGCAATGTCCGTCCGGCCGTGGAAACCACTCTAGCTTTCGAATGAAATGAAGCAGTTTAATAACATTTTACTAAGATATGAGTTCGGTCTACAGTACTTTTGGTATTGAAAATGGGCTAAACAGGTCCACGATTTAGTGTAGCCCCCATATAACTTTAAGATTTGTTTGCGTGTTTTATTCACAATTTTAACCCGAATTTGCTGTAAATTGTCAATATGTGTTCACACTATGTAAAAAATATCCTTGGTCAATATAGGTCTAAGTTTTGGTATACGTAGTCTTCATATAACCGTACCTCCCTACATGCGGTATTTTGGTGATTTGGGTCAAACTTTTTACCGGAAATGTTTCAAACTTGGAATTTGAAATTCATAATGGATACTACAGCCTATGACAAAAAAATGCTCATACAGGCCCAGATCTTCGTATAGTCCCGCGTGTTCCCGATACTCGTTATTTTGATGATTTTAGCGACATTATTCGAATTTGTATAAATTTCTTATTTGAAGTCCGTGACGGGTACTACAGCCTGTGACAGAAAATTGAAAATTCGTGTAGCCATCATATAACGGTATCTTTCTATATTCGGTATTTTGATTATTTTCGTATTTTTGAAGTTCCTAATGGGTACTTCTTTTTATGATAGAAAATTGCATATGCAGGTTCACGTCTACATATAGGCCCCAATATAAAAGTAACTTCCTAGTTTTACGATTTTAGCAATATTTTCCAACGGAATTTTTTGGAAATTTGCAAATTCTTTGCAAATGGTGGAGGATATGCAAAGTCTGGCCCGGCCGAATTATTACAACAGCATACCTTTGGCAGAGAAAAGTTTTTCCACCGAGAGCCAAAACTGCCAATTTACATTTTTTTATTAAAGATTTATCAAAGATGCATTCCATATTGAAAACTTTTCCTCCATGGAGTAGTTATGTCTATGAAACTGGAAAAATCAAACAGTGCCTTTTATAGTGTCCACCATAAAATGGAGTATATATTGGATTTGGCATTCTGTTCCCCGAAATATTCTCCGAAGACCACATAAAGTATAAATATTTATGAACAGCGTACAATTCTTGTCGATTTAATAACATAGCTGGCATTATATAAAATAGAGCTTTCGAGTTTTACAAAGACATGATATTATCGCTAGAATATTATTGAACTCAGACATTGACTATAGTATTTCGAAGGTTTCAGTACGAATTTCAAAGCAAATCCGTTGAAATCTTGATGTTCTCAGTGAGTAATTTGGCTTTAATGTAGGTCCTCTTGTAGGGTTATGCCAAAATCCCATAAGTTGGTTCCTCACGGAACATTTGAAAGTTTTACTCCCAATTTCAATTCTCAGTGAGTAGTTTAATATCTTAAAAAAGAAATCCGAATGTAGATCTACTATTTGATACATAGCCCCCATACAACGGTACCTCTTGACATATGGTATTTTCAATGATTCGACCACAATTTCCTACGAAATCAGCGGAGAGATTGACTCCTTCTATAAAAAAAAAAAAAAAAAAAAAAAAAAAAAAAAAAAAAAAACAGTATATAAAGGAAATTCCAAAATTATAAATTCTTTGTGCATAGAATTTTGAACCCTTTGAAAGTTGTGGATGAAAGATTTTAATAGCCAGCATTCAAAATGTGGTTATAGGGGTTGTACAAAAACGTAGACCATTTTCAATATCAACAAGCTAAAAAATATCAGTCGATTTTACCGAGAGATGATGTATACCCTAAGCTATTGTCCGTTTATTTGAATATACTTTGACATCCGCTATGAAAATCAAAATGTTGAGCCTTTATGGCGGAGATTCCGAGGTAGTTGACCAATATTGTCCATTTCTTTTCAGATACAAGTCTGATATAAATATTACTACATGCCAGATTTCGACAATATCCACTACTTTCACCATTTTATACAACAATTTAATTTTTGGAAAATTTGAAATGTGCGTGAGGTATGA